TGTAAAGAAGCTGGAGAATGGCAGCTCCATTTGACTAACTGCTTTTGTTGCTGATAGATGTTTGTACTGTTCAAGGCAAATCTTTAATAATTTTTATAATTAGTAATGTATATTGTTGACTTATGGTTTCCAAATATGGAAACTAATTTAAATTTTTTTAAATGTACGTATCAAACAAAATCCTTCCATCCTGGGTTTGGCCTGGGAGCCAATTACAGATTCAGCAGATAAAGTGACAGTGTCATTGCAGTGACTCCTTAATCATCAGAACAAAGAACTTGACTAGTGCTGTCACAGCAAGCCTTCCCAGACCTCCTCTAAGTATTGTATTCCATATATTTCTTCTTCTAACAGTTGTTACGTTTAAATCTAATTTATGTCTGTGATTGATTTGTTATCTGTCTGTTCCTTGGAACATTCAAAAGTTCACCAGGCATAAGGGTCAGGTCTGTTTTTGCTAATCACAATTTACCAATTGTAGATTGATGAATGAAGTAAATGTATGATATCGTAGATGAAGTGGGCTAGAGAGATTAGTTTTGAAATTCATTATACAGTTTAAAGAAAGGCAAAACAACATGAGTACAACATCTCACTTGGAATTCTGTGTTGAAAGAGTTAGTTCAACAGCAAGTTGTTTTCTCTGCACAATGTGAGAAAAGATCATTTCTTCCCTACTAACTATTGTTATGTATGCTAATATAGATCAAAGCATTTCTGAGAGTACTAACATTTGCAGCAGAGCACATTAATGCCACGTTTTTATTTGTATTTAGTTGTTCGAGTTCTCAGAGTCTGAAATTTTAGTCTGTCGTAAACTTCTGGATTTGCTGCTCTGCCTGGGAAAAACAGAAACACTGCTTCCCTTGTATAGTTATTAAAAATACATTTTTTAGACTTAATATTTGTAAATTTTGGTTATTTTAAGTTCTGAGGGAATAAGAAAGCTGAAGAGAGAACTGACAAGGATTAATAGAAACGGTTTCTTTGAAAAAAAAGAAACAAAAATATTAATAGTTCACCAAGTTAAAGTTGAAAGATTTAATATATAGTACTGAAATAAAATAAAAGTGTATACTGCTGAAATAGAGAGGCCACCTTTCTATGCCTTGAGATATAGTAAAAACATGTGATGCTGGAAAAGTGAGAAGCAGCAGGGGGTGAACGGAGAAAAAAACCACAACCTGTTTTAGTTTTTTTGGAAAGTTTTAGCTGTGCTAAACTTCACCCTTTATATTTTTATAAGCTGCAGAAAGTCCTAAAAGATTTTTAAAATGGACTCTGTATGGTTCCATTTAGATAACACTCTCAAAATGACAAAATTATAGAGGTGAAGACAGATGATTGGTTGCCGGGGTTAGAGATGGAGCAGGGAGTTCTGTCAGTTCTTACTTTGTGCATCTTTGGGAGTGTAAATATTTAGGGCTGTTAATTCCTCTTGATCCTTCTATCATTAAGAAAAAACCTTCTTTATCCCGGCAATGTTCTTTGCCTGGTATTAAAAGCCATTTCATCTTTCTTGTAATTACTGCTAATAGAACAGGCATGATGTATCTTCTTCCTTCCTTTTACTTTTAATCTGCATGTGTCTTGGTATCAAAAGGGTATTGTTTCTAGACAAAATATACTTGTATCATACAGCCTGACAGTTTTGCCTTTTCATTGGATAGTACAGATCACTTACATTGAATGTGATTTTCCATATGGTTAGATTTGACTTTGTCCTTTCGCCATTTATTTCTGTTTGTCTCATCTGGGGATTTTTTTTTTGGGGGGGGGTGCTTCTTTTACTCCCATTTTTGTCTTGCCTTGGACTGTGTATTTTTTTATTATTATTATTGTGTTTTGTCTCCTTTGTTTTCTTATTGGTGACAGCAATTTTTTAATTTTAGTGGCCACTTTTGGTTTTATCCACTCTTACAGATGGTCATATCTACCCTCAAAGAGCATTGTACCCCTTCACATGTAAGAATCTTACAACAGTATGGCTCCTTTTATTTCTTCTCTTCCAGGCTTTTATGCTGTTATTATCATATGTTTTGTGTATGTGTGTGTGTGTGTGTGTGTATAAACACCACTCTCAGTTGTGATTTTGTTTGGTCAGTTATCTTTAAAGAAATTTAAATTATAAGAAAAATTCATATTTGCCCCTGCAGTCACTGTTACCAGTGTTCCACATTTCTTTGTTTAGATTCGTATTTTTATCTGCGATCATATTCCTTCTGCCAGAAGGACTTCCTTTAACATTTCTGGTAGTGTGGGTCTGTTGGTAATTATTTCTTTCAGCTTTTATAGGTCTGAAAAAGACTATTTATCACCTTCATTTTTCAAGTGTGTTTTCTCTGGTTTCATCATGTCTTAATACTTTAAAGATGTTTCTCCATTGTCTCCTGTCTTGTGTTTCTAACAAGAAATTTGCTGTCATTTTTAGCTTTGTTTTTCTGTATATGGTGTGTTTCTTTTCCCCCCTCTCTATCTGCTTTAAGATTTTTCTCTTTATTATTTGATTTTGATACATGTATTTGGGTTTATTGAACTTCTTGATGTATATGTGCATATGTAGTTTTCATCAAAGCATTGTTCAGCATTGCTTTCTTCAGATTTTTTTGTTGTTGTTCCCCACCTCCTCATTTTCAGGAACTCCAATTACTCATATGTTATTAGGTTGCTTAAAGTTGTCACATAGTTCACCAATAATCTTTTAATATAAATTCTTATTTTCTCTGTGTTTTCATCTTAAGTACTTTCTAATGATGTCTTCAAGTTCATTAATCTTTTCTTCTGCCATTAATTCCATCCAGTGTATTTATTATCTCAATTTGGTTTTTTAAAAAATATTCTATATCTCTGCTTAACTTTTTTTAAGTGAGAAATAATGTTTTTAATGCCCCTGTGTGTTAATTCTAATCTTTGTCTAATATTAATACCCTTCTCTTACTAATTGATTCTTTATTTTTCTTACTGTTGGGCATATATTTCTGTCTCTTTGAATGTCTAGTAATATTTGAATATATACCAGACACTGTAAATTTTGCCTTTTTGGATGATGAGTACTTTTGTGTTCCTATAAATAATCCTGAGCTTCATTCTGGGACATTAGTTAAAGGTTCTTGGAAACAGCTTGATGTTTTCTAAAAGGTCTTGCTTTTAAAATTAGTTTGGTAAGACCAGAGGAGCACATAGTCTATGACTATTTGTTTTCTTTTGTGATGCAAGATCCTTTTGAGTTCTCTACCCAATACTCTGAGTTTCCCAGTCTGTCTAGGAACAGGCCCAATTCAGGGACCTGAGAGTGAATTACTTACTTTCTCTTTCATCAGTCCAGATTTTTCTCCTGGCTCCCAGGTAGTTTCATCAGTTGAATGTACTGACAGTACTTACTGAATATTCAACCAGTACCTTTGCGAACCTCCAGGGATTTTGTAGCCCTCTTCTTTCCTGTATGCTGCTATGTGAACCTTGCTCCAGAACTTTCAGTTCCATATTTTCAACTCATAGAGTCTGCTTGGCTTCACCTGGTTTCTCCCATTCAGTGCCATGAAATCTATTCTGGCTATTTGAGTAAATCAGTTCTTTAACATGCCTAATGTACGTAAGTTGATATAGACTTGAAAAGGGATGAAGAAGTGGATGACATAGAAATAAAATTGAATAGAATTTGACAGTGAAATATCATAGAAGAAACATAATGAGGACACTTAATTCATTATATGTTAAAATGTATTTAAATATATTTATATATTTAGTATTACTAAAATATTGTAATACTAATATATACACATATTAGAAAAAAGTAGACTAACTTTTTTATGGAGACTAACTCATAAATGTATTTTAAACGTTTAGTATAAATGAATTATTTCAGTGGGGCATTTTTTTAAAGATTTATTTATTTATGCATACAGAACTGGGATACAGGCCAGAGGTGCAGGGGCAGTGAGAGGATTCACCAGAGACAGAGTGGAAAGCAGAACAGGCCGATTGACTAAATACACTGCTGAGGGGAGCAGTGGGTGGGTCAGGAGAGGTCTGCCGAGCCATGTGGATCAGAGCCACGTGGATCACTTGGATAGGGATCGAACTCATGCTGAAGTGGCTTTAGCTTCTTAGTGCTGTGCTTTAACCTGCTGAGCCATTAGGGAGGGCCCAGGGGCATTTTTTTTAATGGATGGTTGTGTCACAACTGGACAACTCATTTTAAGAAGAAATTAAATTTGGATCTCCTCATGACTTTAGTGCACACATATCCTAGGTAGGTTAAAGGTACAATCTAGAAGTATAAGAAGAAAATCAGGCAGAGAAAGTCTAAGTAAGGAACAAAGGATCCAACCATGATGAAAAATATTGATAAAACTACATAGAATTTAATATCTTCTATATGGCAAAAAATTATTAGAAACAGAGCTGATAATCTCATTCTGTAAAGACTTTTCACTAGATAGTGAAAGAAAGATGAATATCCTATGAGAAAAATGGACAGAGAATGTGATTGGGTAATCACAATTATGGGCAAATATATGTATATCCAGTATTTACTTTTTTAAATATGCTATTTCATATTAATAGGAACAATAAAAATAATAATAGTAATTAATAATAACATGTTTTTCTCTGATTATGTTACGAACTTTCAAAAGATTTAGCTAGTTTAATCCTTTGAAATAGCATGTATGTTAACATCATTTTTTAAATGTGACAGCTGAGATAGCTTGGACCAGTTGTCCAAGGTCACAGAACTGTCAAACAGATATGCAAAGGTTATCTCAGGCCCTCTGACCTAGAGTCCTGCTCCTCATCACTTTTCAAAGACATATTAAAACAGCCTAAGTCCATTGCAGTTTATAGAGAAATGGGTAGTTTGCTCATGATTACACAGTTTATAAACAATAGAACTAAGTTAAAATTTTTAGGGAAAAAAATCATATAAATCATAGAAAGGAGAGCAAAGTATATAAGATAAACAAATGTCTTTAATTTTACAAATTCCCCATTTCTTTCAGATTACTTCAAAGCTGCTTCAAAGAAGTTAAAAAGTGGACTTATATTTGTAAAACTGGTTAACCCATGTACAGGTAAGTTCCTTCCTCTCTTGGATGTTTTTTAACTTTGTGGCTAGAAAGAAATTATGCTTTGTGTATTTATACTTTCTGAATAATTTTTAAAGTTAAGATGCTTTTATAAGATGACAAAAGCAAACTAATGACATTACTAGTTTCCAGATAATTCACTGGATCTAAAAATCTATTTCTTTTTAAAATTTTTACCCATACAGTTGATTCTATGTTGATTCATTGGAAATGCTGACAAAACAGAAAAGTAGTATGTTTGATTTCTCTCTGAAAACAGGACTTCTTTTTTAATTCATTTTTGCATTGAAGAACTAGGGTGTAGGTGTGGCGGTTGTAAAGATTGACCTGAGACAGAGAAGGGAAAAGAACAGGCAGATTTACTGAAATACACTATTGAGGGAAGCAGCAGGCAAAACAGGAGAGGTCTGCTGCACCATCTGTGGGTTAGCTCCTTGACTAGGGAATGGAACTCAGGTCATAACAGTGACAGCACTAATACTTTACTCCTAGTCTACAAGTCTTGAAAACTTGGACTTTCTTAAACTATCTTTTGTAGGAGTAGTTATCTAGCACTAGCCTTCATTTGTTTTCATTCATTTTGTGTTATAATATAAAGATGTGCTCAGCATTGGTGATGTTATTTATCTCTATGTAGAATTTTTGTTCCATTAATATTTTTATAAGATTTGTCAGGCTTTTATTAATTTTATAAGGTTTTATGCAGGTACTTGATAATTATCAATCTGGAGTATTCTCCTGGTGACTGTAACACTGATTCGTGAAAGCAAGGGAAAACCAAGGGGTACTAACTTGTTATTGTTAGGGACAGGTAAATAACAGCAACAGAGGGAAAAAAATTTTATGTCCTCCAGTTTTCTTCAAAATGAAATAAAATATAATTGGTCAGCTATATTATTTGGAGCTCTTAGTTTCGCATAAGACTAGAAAGGTAAATGTTTTTTCAGGTGTTTTAGATAACAGTAAATGTTTTAAAGCATTTAAAAAAACATAAAATTACAAAAAAAATTGATCTGATAAAATTTGTTTTATCTGAATTGTCTAGACAATGGAGAAACAAATGTTTCTGTTATATTGATTATGGAAAAACAAAGGCTAACGTTTACTATATACTAAGTCCTGTTTTAGGAATTTACTATATATTGTGATCTTATAATGGCCCTCCCTGGTGGCGAAGCGGGTTAAAGCACTGCACTGAGAAACTAAAGCCACTTCCGCAACCTGCCCTGGAGGTGACCACATGGCGTGGTAGACCTCTCCTGACCCTCCCGCCGCTCCCCTCAGCAGTGTACTTCATCGATCAGCCTGTTCTGCTTCCGTTTTGTCTCTGGTGAATCCTCTCACCCTCCGCATCTCTGGCCTGTACCCCAGTTCTGTATGAATAAATAAATAAATCTTTAAAAAAAAAAAAGCCCTATGAGGTTAGGCTCAGCATTGCCTCCATTTCATAGATATGGAAATAGCACCACAGAAAGGTTTACATAACTTCCCCAAGGGCACAGAGACAAGAGGTACTAAGTTAAGTCCTTGTATTGAAGGAATAAAGCCTGTATATTTGCAAATCACCCTCTTCTAACTTCTTTTTTTTTTCTTTTAAGAGTGAAAGAGAAAGTCCATCCAATTTAAAATTTAGTGGATACTCCTTATAGCTTGATGTCTGTTACTGTTTAAGGGCCCTCACCTTTCTCACGTAGAGCTGGTCATTAGGATCTGCATGCTCAGTCCATATGTTGAACCCTATACCTAAGATGACATTTGTTGCCCTGGAGTCAGGGACCCACAAGTTAGTGCTGTTCATCTGGCTGAAGTACTAGGTCAGGATAGTTTAAAAGTGGATTTTCCTTCACTGTCTGACAAAGGATTCAATGAGTGGCTTTGTAGCAGATAAGATATATTATTTGCACTATTTTATTTATTGGCTTAAGCTCAGTGAGGATTATAGAGCTGGAAAATAAGCATCTGTATATAATAACTATAAGCTTTTCTGGAGTCAGTTTATGTAGAATATATCTATGTATGTTTATATTCCTTTTAGGAACATTCCTCAGAACTATTGGATGGTTTTTGATTTTTTTTTTTTTATGTGTGTGTGAAAACTTACAAATAAAAAGCAGATTTTTCTTAACAGGGGAAGGAGCCATTTACTTGTTCAATATGCATCTACAGCAGCTGTTTGAAATAAAAGTTTTCAAGGAAAAACACCATTCTTGGTTTATAAATCAATCAGTTCAATCAGGTAAGTGACTAGTATATATATATATATACACATAAATGTCCATGTATCTCCATTAACTAAACTTTACATTTTCAATGACCATGGGTGTTTGTGTCTGTCACCTACCTTGGAATCAAGTGCAGGGTTTAGCCTCCCTGGCATCAGAAGAGGCTTGAAAAAAAGAAGGATAATTTGAATATTTTTAGAGTAATACCTGTGTGGCAGGAAATTATAAACTAACAATGCAAGATTGTCTCCTAAAATACTGGCACATCCTTAGCCAGAAGTTAGATGACTTTGTACCATGGAAAGGTAAATTGTGCTTGTTCCATGGAGTGATACTTTGTGTTGACTGGCAGCTCTTTGCTCAGCTGTTATCTTTGCTTGAGGATCTTAAGTTTTTAACATCTTACTTCCTTGAACATTGATAGGATACATTCTATAGAGTAAAACAAAGTTAACAAAGATTTTCTTAATCTTTGTCATATAAATACTACTGCTGACATCCCAGTTGCAAGGTTTATTACTGGTAATAGATACGACATACCTCTGTGCAGGGATTTAATGTGGTTTTCAAATGCCCAAATATAATAGTCTGCATTTAGCCTGGTAGGTATAAAGTATATATTCTCTCTTACTGTTGCCACCAATACTTATTCACTTAGCAATATGTGAGACTTCCAACTCAGTGATGTGCAATTTTAGTAGGGTTTAGCTAGATGGACATAGTAATATCTGATAATATCTGATGTCGTTTTTGGAGTTAGTGTGGGGTCCGTGGGCTCACTCTGGGAAAAGTTTCACTAGAGCTCCCCTTTCAGCGGCATGCAGCGAGTTCCCAGGCAAGTTTCTCCATGAGACAGAGACTCAGTTATATTTAAAGAGCAGGTTTATTAGGGAAAAGGACAGAGGAGTAAAGGACACTTGCATAGACACAGGAAGAGCTGCCCCAAAGGGACAGGTTTGCTGAGAGAGGCCTGCATGGGCCCACGTGAGTAGCCTTAGGAGAGCTGCCTCTGCTGAGGGAGGTCAGTGCAGAGAAGCCAGGGCATGGCGCAGTGCAGGTCATGGGCAAGCAGGAGGCTGAAAGAAACACCTGGATAGTCACAGGTGGCCAGGAATGCTGCCCTGAACCAGTGCAGAGACTGACTGATGGAGTTCTTTCTCTTGAGAGGGGCTCATTTGTGGAGTGGCCTGTTTGCTGCTGATTTTGGATAGCTATGTGGAATCTCACCATGGACCCAGTGTCTGTGTCTTTACCCTCAGGTCTGTGTTTCCGATATTCCTTACAGTAGTCTGATATAGCAGTCTGTTACCTGTTTGGGCCTTCCACCTTGTGATAAGGCAATAAGGGTCTTGATTTCTATGACTGGGTTAATGGTCATGTTAGTTCCTTCTGCCCCCACCTCCTTGCATGAGTCAAGTTTTAACCTTGTGATATCTTCTTCAGGTTTTCTATTTTCCTCTGTCATATCCAAATGAAACTAGAAAATAGAAAGCAGTGATCAATGATCTCTTGTTTTTGTTTTGTTTTTAATTCAATGAAATAGATTCATATACATGCATATATATAATTTAAGGTTAGCATTTCTTAATCTGTTTAGGTAGATTGCTCTGCTAGAGAATGAATGTAAGTACCTGTGTTTCCTGAAATCAAATTAGTAAGTATTAAGATAGATGAATTGTTTATTGTTACATTTGATTTAAAAAAAAACAAACTCTTCTGTTTTTCTTCTGTGAAAGGGGGCATGCTTACAGGGACATGCAACAGAAGAAAGATACTTGGGAAGTGGGTAGGCTAATTTGTCTGATTTGCCTTTTTTCCTTTCAGCCTGGAGATCATTGGTTACTTACTATAGAGCTCCCAGTTTGCTTATGCTCAGTCCTGTTAGACTCCTGCCATTTGTTTTTTTCTTCTAGGGAAGAGGATGGAATGAGGTCTAGTGTGGGTAACACCCATCTAAGCTTTGAGTCATTGGTAGTTAGGGCTATGAGCCCACAGAACATAGAAGGAGCTATGTACAAAGAGTAAGATTGCTTTCCCATGGCTTTATCCTAAAAAACACAGGAAATTACATTTCACTACAACTTTACTTATATAGGTTTCTTAGTATTTGCCTAGTTTACATTCTGGCTATATTCCCTTCAGTCACATTTTTTATGGGGGTGGAGGTGAAAGAGGAGGACCTCTGTTTAAAAAAAAAAAAAGATTTGAAAAGTTAAAGGTCAATTGTAGTGTCTTGGCTCCCTTCTATACTCATGGATTTGAAGCTCTATGGAGTAAAATCTCATGGACCACTTTCTGCCCTTTGAGAGAATCACATAGAATCTTGGATCTGTATTAAGAAGAGCTTCTAGATTTGAAACTTCACATATTTTTTCATCAGATTTTTTTGTTGTATTCGATTAAGATGAAATGAAAAAATTACCCTACAAACATTTGATTTACTTTGTTATTTTTTTTTACTCTGTAGGGGGACTTCTCCACTTTGCCACACCCATGGACCCTCTATTTCTGCTTCTTCACTACTTTATAAAGGCTGATAAAGAGGTGAGTTTCCCAGTTTGGGATATTGACAGTAAGGAAACAGAATAAGTTGTTTTTTCTAGATCTCTTCTGTCCTTTTAATGTTCCTAATGTAGCTTCCCTATACTTCATATGTTATATGGTTGATAAAACCATGTGTATGTGTGTGTGATACAGATGAGCACACTGAACTGAGAACCAGCACCCTAATCTTGGAGTTATTTAAAACTTTGCAATGCTTTCACTTCGTACAATTCAGCTTCTTTTATTCTCCCCCTTTCCTACATTCTCTTGCCTTCTAGTGTGGGTGAGCAAAATTCTATTCCTTAGTTTAATCGTGTTTTCCTTTATCTGAAAACTACCGTGTAGCCAGTAGAATTAGGGCATAGAAGCAGCGAGGATAGTAAACGAGGCTAGTAAATCATGTGTCTGTAACAAGTAGAAACGATTCTAGTCATGACCAGTAGGCTCTGCTCTTGCAGTGTTGTGGTGTGTGTGTTCTCAGATAAATTAACAGAAAATTACCAACCTTAATGACTTTGGAGGATTACTCCTCACTTGGACTTTGAAATCTCTGTAGTGTTGTGATTAAGTGGTTGTGATGCAGAATGAAACAGAAATGCTGCTAAGTTGATGGTTGCCTCTTGCACGCCATCTTACATTCTTTTCAAATATATACTTTAAAATAACACATGGACGTTTAGTTATTTCCTTTCCTACATTTTAGGTATCACCTTTTCTTATTTTGTTAGAAAAAATACTGGTACGCATATTGGAGATGTCCCTTCTTAATCATAAGATTTATCTTTACATCAGTAAAAATAACCCTTCTTTTTGAAAATATTTATTTTATTTATTTATCTTGCATAGAAGAACTGACTGGGTATAGACCAGAGGTGCAGGGTATGAGAGGATTCACCTGAGAAAAAGTGTGGAGCAGAACAGGCGGCCCTACTGAAATACACTGCTAAGGGGAGAAATAGGCAGGACTGAGAATTCTGCTGTGCCATATAGGTTAGCTCCTTGGCCAGGAAGTGAACTCAGGCCATAGTGGTGATAGCGCTAAGACTTAACCACTAGGCTGCCAGGGGTGGCCTTCTTTTTAGCTATTTCAGCTCTTATTATCTTTATATTCAAAGCAGTTTGCTTATTGTATGCGGTTTTATTTTTTTAAAGAATTATTTTATTTATGCACACACAACTGGGGTACAGGCTAGAGTTACAGGGGGTGAGAGGATTCACCAGAGACAGAGTGAGGAGAAAGGTGTATCTACAGCTTGCTGAGGGGAGCAGCGGGTGAGACAAGGAGAGATCTTAGCCATATGGGTCAGCTCGAACTCAGGCTGCCATGGTGGTAGTGCTGAGACTTACCCCTGAGGCCCACCAGGGAGGCCCCCTGAACCTGATTTAATGTGTCTGCAGCTTCATTTCACTCTTCTTTCTACTATTTGTTCTTTTATTATGGTCTGCATTTGGAAGCACTGTAAGACAACTCTTGTTAAGAGTAAATTCACTTTTTGGGGAGGGATGGTTTGTGTGTTGCAGTGCTTCTTTCTTGAGCCTTGGACCAATATGGGGTGAAGGGGCATATACCCTCTTGGCTTGTTTCTGGCAGTGTTAGTGTATGGTCAGAACGCCCACTCTGTGATCTCAACCAGTTCTTCTTCAAACTGAATGGCTTGGGCCAGTCCTACATTTCTGCCATTTGCAACTCTCTGTGCTTTTCCAGATGAGTGCTTCCCTATTTCATACAGGGACTCTACCCCTGACATGGCACTGGTTGGAGCCCTAATGTTTCAGGAGTTTCAAAAAGGGAGCTGAGAGTCTATTCCGGCATCTGGCCAAGGTTATAGATTCTTAAATGGAATGAATTTAAGATTCATTAGATTTAGTTTAAAGGTCTAGCCCTGAGGTAATATATCTTTTTTCTCTTTTAAAGTGAGTTTGTTTACTGGAATGTTTGTGTTCTGACTGAACAAAAATCTTTTTCAGGGAAAATTTCAGCCTCTAGATCAAGTTGTGATGGATGATATATTTCCCAATTGCATATTATTGCTGAAACTTCGTGAACTTGAGAAGTTACTTCCACATGTGACAGAGGAAAAAGGTATGATATAGAACCTTGAAACCAGGGTGATGGATGCTAAAATGACTGGGCACTTGTCTCGGAATGTATCAGTTTTTTTTTTTTTTTTCCCCAAGTGTTCACATGTACCAACTTTATGGACTGCACTGCACCAAGGTCCTCGGGAGGAGAAAGCACCTTCTTGATGGCCCTCTGAATGTAATACTTTTTCTGATCAGTCATGGGGGAGGCTGTCATTCACATTTGCTTCCATATGTCAATACTGGTCCTCTGTTGCACTGAATTGTTCAGTGTTGAATTCCAGCCAGTGAACTATGATGGTCTATGTCCTATTGGTCCTGCGATCATGAAGCTTAAACTTAAGTCTCAGTTCTTTGAATTAGTCTGTGGTTATAGGCAAACCACTTACCTAAATGACTCAGATGTCTGACGCAGATCTCTCATTTCTAAAATTACATAAGACCTCTATCTATTGCTTTAAAAAGCAATAGATAGCACCTACTAAATAGCATAGGTTGAACAGAAGTGCTAGGCTCTGGAGATAATTAGAAATAAGACATTATCCTTTCTCTCACTTTGCTTCAAGGCTGATGGAGGCAAACAACGAGTAGCCTGTAACAGTAGAGAGTAATGAAAATGAACTTAGGGTTTTCTGGGGGGGGTGGGGTAGGGGGTGTACTCATGGCTAATTTATGACCTGACTTGGGTTGGTGAGTAGATGGGTATTATGTTGTTTCCTAGGAGAAACAACTTAACTGGAATCATGGCATGTAAGTCAGAGTAGCATACATGGATGTATGGAAGTTTTTCTCATGCAGGAAGTTCCAAGGAGTTGAGTATAACCAGAATGTAGAATGGTAGGTATGAATTTAGGTTCATAAGGATGAATGATGTGGGAATGCTAGACAAAGAATCAGGTGGAGAAGAGCTTTAAATATGTCTGATCTTTACCTGATGGTAGTGGAATATCATGAAGTTTTAAGCATGACAGAAGCTGCCATAGTGGTCTAGGCAAGAGATAATGGAAGCTCAAGATGCAACTAGAAGGAAGTAGCAGTATGAAAGTAGAACCAACCTCATTTGGTGACTGAATGGTGGTCAGGGAGAATGAGGAGTCAGGGATAACTTTGATTTATGCCTTGACCAAAAGGATGTATTGTAGTGCCATGTTGGAGTAAAGAAACTTGGGTGGGAGGGGCAGGCTGAGGTAACTGAGAGATAAATTTTAAATACTGTTTATTTGTATTCTGAGGATGAAGTGAGGCAGTATATGTGAATTTGTTTTGGTGGGTTAAAAGCAATATACAAATTTAGCATCTTTGTCTCAAAAAATATCCAAGTAGTTTCAGGGTTAATATGGAAACATAGTGTGAGAACCAAAACAACAGGCTGATCTGTTGTGGTTATTTGGGGTCACAGATGGTTTGGCCAACTATGACAGTTCTTCTGGGACCAAAAAAGTGGTTATTCCAAGAAGTGTAAGCTTACGGTGGGAAAGGGGAGAACCTCCCTGATTGCATTTCACACTTGAGGGGTCTACTAAGCTCACACTTGGCCAGACATTGAGCTCCATTTTGGAGTTAAGGAATCTGTGGTGCCAAAGTTTCATCAAAGCAGTTCCATTGAAATACATTCCCTGATGCTGAGCTTGGCAGGAAACAACAATCTTTTTGTTGTTGACAAATGAAGTAGCTCATAACCATTTCTGAAAGCTAAAAAATGAGGAATAATTACAAGTCACTTCAATTTTGCCAAGTCAGTATATGCTGAAAATGGAATTAAGTCATTATCCAAAATTCTTACACTAGTTGTATAAGGAGAGTTAACTTAAACCAAAACCTAGAAATCTAGAATAGAAACTTTTCATACACTGGCATTTGTTAGCTTATAACCCATGTTTCAAAGCAAGAGCTACCCTCTCTCATTTCTTCCTTCCCTTGTACCAGATCCCTGGCCATTTATTGAAACATTATCTGAACTTTTCTACTCTCCTTCACTTCTTAGCATTACCTAACATTTTAGAAGTTCTCCTATAAAAGGAGGGTATGCACTACACTTATCTTGTTTGACCAGATCTAAATAACCAGACTTCAAAGGACTGTGTATTTCCCTTTGGATCTTCATGGGAAAAGATGTCTATCTCAGTATACTGTCCTTGTATACAGAACTGACATCAGGAAATTTAGTTCACATATTTGTGTTCTGGGTCAGGGGATGAAGCCAGTAACATGGAATTGCTAATGCGCATTTTGATGAAAAGGCCTCTTTGAGAATGTTATTTTTCTTGTTCTGATTTTTTTTTAAACCATTACTTTAAATTTGCAAACTATTGTTTATTAGGGAATTTGATTATGAAGAAAATGCCAAGACTTCAGAGAATTGTATACATCTTTTGCCATGTGAAATTTAACCTGACTTACTTTGTGTTTTGCCTTACTACATTAAATTTAAATAGAAAGAAAGAAAAAAATTGTGGGCTAGATTTTCCAGAAAATCTATAGTGTATATAAGTTTGATAATATGCTTTGAAAATGAAAGTGCATGGTCAGGTGAAGCAGCTTTTTTTTTTTTTTTTAAAGATTTATTTATTTGTTCATACAGAACTGGGGTACAGGCCAGAGGTTCAGGGGCGGCGAGAGGCTTCACCAGAGACAGAGCGGGGAGCAGAACAGGCAGATGGACGAAGTACACTGCTGAGGGGAGCAGCGGGCGGGTCAGGAGAGGTCTGCCACGCCATGTGGTCACCTCCGGGGCAGGCGGGAATCGAACTCATGCGAAGGTGGCTTTAGATTCTCAGTGCTGTGCTTTAACCCGCTGCGCCACCAGTGAGGGCCTGAAGCAGCTTTTTTATGTAAATATCTTACTTTCATTTTTAAAGAATTTATTATATACATTCAGGTTGGGGTGAAATATTTCATTGTGGTTTTATTTGCATTTCCCTAATGAGTAGTTTTATTGAAAATCTTCTCAGGTTCCCTTTGGTCATCTATTTGCCCACTTTTTTTTTTTTTTAAAGATTTAAATATTTATGCATACAGAACTGGAGTACAGGCCAGAGATGCAGGGGCGGTGAAAGGATTCACCAGAGACAGAGTTGGCAGCAGAACAGGCCGACTGACCAAGTACACTGCTGAGGGGAGCAGCGGGCGGTCAGGAGAGTTCTGCCGTGCCATTTGGATCACCTCTGAAGCGGGGGATTGAACTCATGCTGAAGTGGCTTTAGCTTTTTAGTGCTGTGCTTTAACCTGCTGCGCCACCAGGGAAGGCCTGCCCACTTTTTTTTTTTAAAGATTTATTTATTTATTCATATAGAACTGGGGTACAGGCCAGAGATGCGGAAGGTGAGAGGACTCACCAGAGACAGAATGGGGAGCAGAACAGGCAGATCAATGAAGTACACTGCCGAGGGGAGCAGCGGGGCCTACCCACTTTTTTAATGGAAATATAGTTGATATAGAACATAATAATGTCAGGTATACAGCATAGTGAGTAATCTATGACTATATTGTGAAATGATCACCACAGTAGTCTAGCTAAAATCCATCACCACATATAGTTACAAAGTATTTTTTCTTGTGATAAGAACCTTTCAGATCTACTCTTTTAGCATCTTTCAAACGTATAGTACAGTATTATTAACTGTTGTCACTTTGTTGTACATTACAGGCAGGTTTTTTGTAATGGAAGTTTGCAGGCTTACCCATTCACCCCCTCTCTAGTAGCAACTATCTCTAGCAATTACCAATCTTTCCTATCTCTAAAGTTGTTAGTTTAGATTATACATGTAAGTGAAATCATGCAGTATTTTGGTCTTTTCTGCCTGACATTTCTTGGCATAATACCCATTAGGTCCAGCTAGGTTGTGCGAAATGACAGGATTTTTTTTTTTTAATGGCTGAATGAATATTGCTTTAGTTGCCTTTACTCTTAGTTAAAAGTGTTTTTTTTCTTCATTTTTAAGTTACAGCAATATATTTTTTTAATTTTTAAGTTATAGGAAAACTCAGAGGAAAGCCTACAAGTATCTTTTGTGTCCAACTCAAATATTCAAATGCTAATATTCTGATAGTCAATTCATAATTCTTTTGGGGAAAGAATTCCTTTAAGAATGATCAGATAGGGAAAAAGAATAATCAGATACTATAACCTTAGGATCTCATGGTCCACAAGGAAAATTAAAAGGGTTTTGCTTACAGGTTTTACTGAATCATTCAAACTTCATTATCCTTGATCTGTAAGATGAATAGTATAAATTATAGGGTTGAATATATTCCCCCATATTCTACTATACATTATAATTAGAACTCTGCAATGTTGTTGTAAATCAAAAAGCCTTCATTCTCTTGGTCTTAATGTATTGATATTTCTGATGACCAACATATGAACATTATTTGAGTACTTCCTGTTATAGTGTCTAGTAGCTATCAAAAGAGATTCTTCAACAATTAAGTGAGATAATGTGAGTTAATCAATGCCTAGAGAGTGTTGTAGCATAGTAAATGCTCAGTAAATGTTAGTACTAGTAAGTCTTCTTAATTAGAAATTGTTTATTATTTGCTGATGTTTAAGTCCTGGGCACATAGTGAGATGACCAAAATCATTTGTTTGATGGCTTATTGATTAATGTATAGTCAAATGATTTAAGGAAAATGAGAATTAGATAACATTACAAATATTTGCCATAAATTGAGATATTATATACTAACCTTTGAACTTACTGTTTTACAGACACTATTGTATCTTTGTAATAACTTCCTTTCCTTGTTCAAAGTCTGCATTTTTCCAAATGAGGGTACAAGTTACTAAGAATTTGGGTAACTTGACTAACACTGAAAAACTTGAAGTAGTAGAAGCAGGGTTTGAACCCACATCTGTCCTACAGCAACTCTTTCCCTTCTTTTTTATAACAATATGACGTTTGAAAATATTCAGTTATTGGATGTTGTGAAAATAGAAACAGTCTTTTTGACATCTGGTTTATCTTCTGTTAATAATTTCCTTTTGTGTGGCAAAAAGAGAGA